TATCATTTTCTGCAGCACAACAATATTTCATCAAAATATGAATAAAGTTTTTATATTATAGAAGATACTATGTATTTCCTTTTAGAATTAGTTTCCACTCCTGAAAGCAAATTATTTCCCAATAGTAGTCCAACTATTTGCGAATAATCATGAATAGATGAGTTAAGATTCATTTATTTAACAGATTTTTGAGTGGAAAAGTTTCAAAAAATACCAAAATATTCAAAGTCTAAGCAATTTTCAATATACAGATATTATAAATATTCAAAGAGTAGATCATTAATTTGATGCTTGGTTTGGTTTCTTCAGTAATTTGCTAACCATTTCAGAGACATCTTTGATAATTGCAATCATATACACAAATTGTTTCATTAATAATTATTATGAGGCGCCAAAAATGCCGACCGATTAGAAATTGAAACTAATTTCATTAAAATTAAAGTTGAAATATGGAAATTTTTAGTGCTAGTGGTGGCTCGATATTCAAGGAATCTTGTCTTCTCGAAAGAAATTTCATTTGAAGGAGTCTAAAGACAATTTTGATTTGAAGAAAATTAATCAAAGGAAAGCGCTATAGGAAAATCGAAGCCATTCAAAAGGTTTGTACACCTTTAAAATGCATCCTCATCCTGCAAAACGCAGAAGTTGCTGATTATTTTAAATTAAAATAAACCCAATCTGCCCAAAAAAAAAAAAAAAAGCAATTGTGTGCACTTTTAATTTTTTCAAAACTTTTCCTAGAACGCCTCGGAACGTGCAAATCTGTTCTTCTAATTCTGATTCATAGTTGTACTCGAGGGGACTGTTTTCTTTATCATGGCAAATGTTTTAGGGTAGAAGAAAACAGACCGCCCTTCAGCTGTTTTGTGGTGCGTCCACCTCCAATTTACCTGCCCCTCTAATGTACCGTAAACACCCCCCATCCACCCCCAGCCACTTATGGAAAGTCAGAAGCGAATGAAAGCAAAGTTAAAGAATGAAGTCATCCCATGAAGTGTTGTGTTTAGTGAAGTCAGCAAAAATGTTATCATGAATGAATAAAAAAAGAATTCCAGACAACAAACAGCAGCAGAAATTAAAAGTCAATTTATGAGTGCTGAGGTAAAAAATTAAAAGTTCAAGCACTTTTTTTTAGTATTAAGTCCCAAAGCGCCGATTCTCGGTTGGGGCTGCAGTGAATTTCCATTTTCATTTGTGCAGTATCGGTTTCGGTTTCGGTTTCTCGATTTCTTTCTTTGCACTTTTTTTCCATTGCTTTCTTCTCTTCTTCTTCTTTGTCGTCGTCTTCTTCTTCTTCTTCTTGTGCTGTGGTTCTGCTCTCTCGCCATACGCTGCGCAATACAAAAAGTCAAAAGTTAAACGCTGTTGACACTTTTAGGCTTAATTAAATTTCTTGTTCTTCTTGTCATCGTTATTGTTGTTGTTGCACTTGCTGTTGTTGTTGTTGTAATTTTTGGTGTTGCATTTTTTCAGGTGTTAAAACAACAACTGGCGCATTATTTGCTGATTTTGTTGAATTAAGAATTGAGGGAACTGAAAACAATTACAACAATAACAACAACAGCGCTTATTGTAAATAATAATTTTTTTTTTTTAAAAGGTTAACAATTGTTAAATGGAGCATAAAGTTGCGAAGAATCAACAAACAAATGAGTTGTTGTGTTGTTCGTTGATTGATAATAAAAAACAAAAAAAAAAAAATCAACGAACACGCGATTCATCCTAGACTAGTGACGTGAGTTCAAAATCAACAACGGGATATAAATAAAAAAAAAATAGTAAAATTAAAATTAATGTAACATAAAGTTAGTTATACACAGCAGGAGGCCTATCCCTATCCCCAATTATTTTAGGGCTAGTTGGTCGATCTATATAATCTCGGACAGCAATTGATTCCCACACAGCTAGCTCTGGAGGTCCGGAACATTTTTTTTTTTTTCTAAGAATCCCTTTTGACAAGGAAGAGATAATCATCTGAAGTTGAAGTTTTGAAGGTGATGAGATGATGAGACGAGGAGAGTGTAGAGACACTTCTCTATTAAGCTTCAAGAACTCTTCCTCAATGATCTCACAGAATATACCAATACACTGAAGATCATGAAATTTGATTCCACTATTATAATTTTTGTAATTGTTAAATTTGTAACGAAACTTAGATCGGTACAAAGCTCCATTCGGAGAGTTGGTTAAGAATTGAATGAGCCTCAATTAAGAGTATTATTTGGGGGCCGTAATAACTATTGTCAGCCAATCGATAAGAGTATCACTTGATCGATCCAGAACTTTTAAAGTCATTTCATGTGGGATCGCAAATATGATCCCCAGTTTCGTACAATCTTCTGGCATGCACTCTCTCTATTCGAGTCTTAACACAAGACAGCTCCTTCATTCGTTTTCTCTCAGCATAGCCTGTGCTGACTAATGCCAAGTCGTTGCTTACGTGTGACCAGCATAACCCCGAAAAAAAAACCCCCCCGCCTGCCACCTCCTGAGATCGCATGCAAATGCGAGTCGTTGCTATGCATATAAATTTATTTGTGTACGCTTTCAAAAATGTATTTAAATTGTCAGCTCATTTTTGTCGAGTCTAGAAGGAAGCAGTCACAGATCCAGGCAGATAAAAAGTTATATAAGCTATACCAAAGAAATATTTAGAATAAATATGAACCAGTTTTGTGTGTAAATGTTCGAAAGGGTCAAAATAAATGTGAGAAACAGATGCTGGTATAGAAATACCCTATGAATAGCATTAAGAAACGTTGCGTGTCCGTCTGTATGAACCCTGAGAACTTTGGTACCATAACAGCTAGCGTTACCAAAGTTGTAAGTAACGTACACTTTTCCTATCTGTATGCAGAGTATGTTTATTAGAAACCATAGCCCATAGCCATAGCCTCTATAGCCTCATTAGTTCGTATATCTGTCAAAGGAACAATCGGTGGAGAAGTCGTAACTGTTTTGTTTAGAAAGATACGTTAAGCACGACTGGCATACTCTCGTTTAACTAAATCATATTGCTGCCATAGGGGATCAGTGTGGGAATTCTTTAAACGGATTTAAGAACCAGTAGAGCAGGAAGCTTCTTAAATATTGAAAGATGAGACAGGGCGGATTAAAGAAATTGGGAGCAACACGGAAGTTTGCTGGAAACAATGGAAGCATTGAACTTCTTGTTTATAATTTGAAATTGAACTTGAATCGATTAATCGACACTATATCGTATAGCTGCCATAGGATTGCCATACCTTAGTTGAAAGGCTATTGCTAGGGAAAGAGTAGGGAGCAAAGGGGAGGGTATTCGAGTGTCGAGCTGGCACGACTTCTGAATGTTCTACTCGCTGGTGTTAAAGTGGCAATAAACGCATCGATTCTTTATTCTGTTTTGAACCTTTTACTCGACTTTAGCATTTTATTTTTACAATGTCTCGAATTTCGGTTGAAAATAAGAAAAAATGGAAAAAAATGAACGACCGAAAAATGTCGCTAAAATTTCATTACGCATGCAAAGTGCTGACAATGCAAATAAGCCACGGATTCAGCTGCAAAACTGATACAAAGCAGCACAAATAACAAATAAGCAAATTAAATAAGAAAGCAACAAAAAGAGCATAAAGGTAAAAAAAATAAAATAAATATCGCGAGTACACTGCTCAACACCTTAAATTTACAATTCCAAAAAAAAAAGTTCGTATCGTGCGCAGCAAAAAAATGCGATCGTTACTGTTTCTTTTTTGATTTTTTTCTTTCTTCAGTTTTCTGTTTCTTAAGCAAACAAATGCCATCCCAAAATTAATTATTATATTATCCATTGAAAAAGATACACTCAGCTGTACACTCAAGTGTTTATTTAGTGCTGCAGCTGCTGCTGATGATATTTTTATTGTTGTCATTGTACAAACGGGGCAGGAGCAGCGACAAAAAACGCACGCGCCTTTTAAGCTCAAATCCGTAAGCTTCGCAAAATATTTGAAAATCGGGTCCATAGACAAACCTGAGATATGTGTAGAAAAAACGATTCCATCTCGAAATCTGTACATTCTAGAGTAGCAACCATATATTGTTTGAATGTGTCCGCTAATGTCATAGAAAGTTTTTTGTATATTCCGTTTAATTGTCTGTCTGTATGAACGTCTCGATCTCGGAATCTAAAACAGCTAGGGTCATACGATTTCGAACACTTCAACATCATAAGATTCTAGATTAAATAAATAAATCTCATGTTTCTGGTAGATCTTTTTAACAATTTAGCGGGCTTAGGAAAGTTGCAACAACTTTTTTGGTGCAGCATTGAAAGAATCATTTGAAAATTATTGATTGTTGTTATTTTAACTACCAAAATTGTACAATCCGATCAAATTATGTCTATATTGATCATTTTAATAGACTTATTTATTTAGTTCCCATTTTTTTGTCTGTCTGTATGAACGGCTCGATATCGAAATCTGAAACAGCTAGTGTCTTTAAATTTTGCATCAGCAACTGTCCTAACATACTAAACTGATAAACTAAGTTTTAGGCTAAAGAATAAAGATACAAAAAAAATTTGTATATATTTTATAATCAAAAAGTATAAATCTTGTTTTCCTATGCGTGTATGAAAGTGTTAGCGCAGCTTATAGTCGGGTATGCTCAACTGCAACATTCTATTTTGTCGGTTTTGCCATTTTGGGCAAAACTTTAATTACATACCTATGTTTATTTAGCTTCATTATATTTATATGCTGTCTTTTATTTGCCTTTGTGGCACTTTTGTTGTTTCTGTTTCAAGTTTTGGGCTTAAAGTTTTTTTTTACGATTTGCTCTTGTCATTATCGTTTTTTTTTTATATATATATAATATGTATATATATTTATTGCTTATTCTCGTCTTTTTGGAGCTGGCTAAGCAAAAACAAACTCTGTGTGTTTTTTTCGGAACACGCGCTGCAAACCCAACGACTAATACAATAATACAATAATGCCCGTCTTAATCATTGTCTGACTTGATTTCGTTTATTACAGAGAACTTCAGGATGGCATGCTCAGAGATCACAATTTAATGGACGGTTCCAAAATTATTTTAATACCAAATGTTGAAACTGGTTTATTGGTAAGTACAAAAAAAAATCCTCTGTACTCTTTATTAGTTTTTTTCGAATCATGCCCGCATAGGTTAAAGTTCAATGACAACTCGGAGAACCCTTGGGCAAAATTTTAAATTAAAACTCGTGCTAATAGGATCCATAAATTGTTTTCGAATTTGTTAAGTGCTCTCAGAATTGCTGTCAATAAACTGAAGCCTGCATACGACATTTCGGATCAGTTTTTATAATCCGAAATACTCTTCTGATTTGGTCAACTCAGCTAAATAGTTGTCGATTTCAAGTTGTTCGATTTGTGATGGATAGCTTTAGTCCAGTTTTAAAGACTGCATCTCTTTAGTTTTGTTTAGAATACAAATTTGATGTGGAAATATTGTTGGAAGAAAGAAATGTAAGCATTAAATAAAATACTTGTTGCACACATTTTTTTTAGTGTGCCACAAATTCTTTGCGGAGCATTAGTTTTTAATGATGTGGCTAAAAACTTGAACAATGTTAATGTATTTTGAAATTTGTTAATTGTAGGAGAGAGATATGTTATATTAAAGTTAGGTATTAGAGCGCAGTAGACAGATGGAAATGCTTAATGAAATTTGGTTTGCAATGAGTGCGAGAAAGTCATATTTAAAATTCTGTAGTTGTAGTTCGTTTGGTTTGCGAGAACGAGGTGTTCATACAGACAAACTTAAACTTACTCTTCGACAGAGAAATTTCGCATACTGCCCGCACAATGAGAAATGCCCTATTCCCTCTTAATAGGGGTGATAATGAAAAATCGGGGGAAACTATATACGTATATATGTATAATGTTGGAATTGGTTGTCAACATTTTGGGTGCGGTCGGGTCATGTTGCTCAGAGAAGCGTTAAAAAATGAAAAGGTGGCCGGCATGTGGAACGCAACGATATGTTGCTGGCAACATGCTGCGCGGCACACAGCAACATGTTGCTCAAATATTATGTCAGCCACTTGAGAGTGTGGCTGGCGACTGAGTTGCACAATTTTTTGGTTATAGTATTTGTTTTTTGTTTGTTTTTTTGTTGTTGTTTTGTTGTACTCTTTAATCTTGTCAGTTTTTAGAATTTGTGACTAAGCGTCTTTGTTGTGTTGACTCGACGTTGCAAAGTTATTTGACATTAATTAATTTTAATTTATTTATATATTTATTTTATTACGCACATTTTTCGTTCGCTTTTCGGGGCGTAGGTATTTTTGTTTTTGCACCGAAACTGGTTACCCTACGCTGCGCTCTCAAAAAATGCAGACCACCCTACAGCGTTGCCTTTGGTTTGGTTGTTGTTGCAGTTGTTGTTTAATTTATGCAACAGTTTTCAACGAAAATCGAATCGGAACGAAGTTGTTTGTTTTGTTTTTTGTTTCCAACGATTGTTGTTCGATCTTTCGATTGTTCGCTGGTTGGTTGGCATGACAATCAATCGCCTGGCCAACCAACCAAGCAAGCAATCAACTATCCAAGCAACAAACAGACCGACAAACTGACAAACAGACAAACGGACAACCGGACCGCCCCACCTCACTGGCTGGAACCATCAAAGTGGCTTGCATTGAAAACACATTTTGACTTTTGGCTTTTCTCGGTTGCCTTTTGAAGGTTTCGATTTTGTGTTTCGATTTTAATGAGAAAGTTTTTGGTAGTTGCTTATATTTTTTTATGCACGCGACACAATCAAGCGAGCCAGCAACCTTAAGGTCAAGTTTGATGCGTTTTTACTATGCAGGCTGAAACTTAATGAGTAGTTGACTAAGCCATGGACAGCAGCATGACAAAATAAATACCATTTTTGGGGGTCGGAGTATGGGTATTGGGGGAAATATTACTCAAGAGTAGCTAATTACTTGAAAATAACAAAAATTTGAATAACAATCTAAGGTTTTGGCATTCTATCTGTCATCAAAGAAAACTCATAAAGGGAGATGTGATTTAAAGTGATCTCAGATATCAACAGATTGATCTTTTGATTTTAACTTTGAAAGTTTACTGTTTTTGCACAAGAACTAACATAAAAGTGCTTGTATTTTGATAGAATTCGAATCATTTGCTTAATTTCTGCAAGTAATACTTCGAGATGTTAACACATCTTGCTTTCAGTGTGGTACTTTTTGATGCTATTGTATATCGAATACAATTTTGTTATCTTTAGAGTCGAAAAACCTATTTTTCCTGAACCAATTAAAAGTCTCAAGCTAAACTTCAAAATTTTTCAATACAATTTTTACAAGTATGTAATTTTTCTTGGATTTTTTTTTGAGAGTATACAAACTAAGTTTGAAGTCGATTGGTTGAAAAATGCTGATTTTTCATAGAAACGTTGGAGCCTGTTTTCCCCCCTTCGGAGCACGAATTTGCCAAATTCCAGCTTTCTAGCTCTTACCGTTTGGGCTGTGCGTTGATCACCAATCAATCAGTCAGTTAGTTAGTCGGGACAAACTGTTTTATATATAGAGTATGTACATATGATCTTCGATATCAAGAGTTCTTTGTACGCACACTTTTTTTTGGTAATTGAACTCATTTATTATTATTATGAGAGCAGGTAATTGGTAGTACAAAGGTACAGGTGCCTACCTTTACAGATCTAATTTGCAGAAATGTTAATCAACTCAAGATCTGAGTTGACAATTTCGACGAAAGCATTCATATTATCGTTTTAACTGAAGCTTAATCGCACAAATTACTCATATCTTTGCATTGAAATAATTTGAAAAGAATTTAATTTATCTCGGAAATATTGTTTTTAATTAATTAATTTGATTTTTCTGCTCTTTGTCCACCTTCCAAAACTGGCCCATAGCGATGGTTTAATAGTGGCATCGATAGTTTCTTCATACTTGATGTTTGAGATACTTTAATAATGGCATCGATAGTTTCAAAATTAATGTAGGCGATACTTTAATAGTGGTATCGATAGTTTTACCATTAATATTTGGATACTTTGGCTTCGATATCTTAGGAGAGAGTTCTTCCTACTCTTGGATAACTTAAATTAATAATATTTAATAATTTTTAGGCGTCAGTAGCAAGTTAGTAATGAACTCACTTTTTTATAGTTTCCTATGATATTTCTACCGAGCTGAGCTAATTGTCTAGTCTTATATATACATGTATATCGCGATTGTTGCCATTAGATATGTGTGCTATTATCGTCGAGTGTCTGGGACCAATACTTCCACTTGCCCCTCAAGCGTCTGTTCGTCATAGACGCGAGCTGTGAGCCCAGTTGGCAGTTGGTAGCTACTACTTGAGTGCTGCCACACACCTGACTTTAATGTGCCGCCTTTTCCTCGTACGTGTATCAATACTGTTGGCTTTGCTTTGTTTCTCTGTCTCTGTTTTGTTGGTGTTGTTGTGACATGTTTTTTGTCGCAAGTTTTCTTTTTCTTTTTATACCCTGGCTGTAATGATATTTATGTGTCGGGTTTTTCTTTGCTTTTCCCAACAGTTTCTTGTGAAATGAAATTAGCTCTCGGCGTGGCATGTAATTGTCTTACAAAGTTGTTTGTTCCATTTCCAATTTGTCCCCCGAAAAGATCCTTCTGTCAATCACTTTCGAATCGAGTTAGGGACTCTATTAAAAATTTCATATTCTAAATTCTGTGTGCAAGATGTTGAGTTTCGTGGAATTACAGAATAAAATAAACAACGAGATCGCAACGTATCAGATCCTACGCAAGTACTATATCAAGTTAATGAAAGATCGTGAGGAGCTGGAGGCGCTACTCAATGAGAATAGGTTTGTGTTGAAGGAATTGAATCTGGTGGAGGAGCCAGTGCGACTGTATGTGCAGGTTGGACCTGTGCTAGTCCGGGAGGGGCTTGAGAACTCACGTCTGAAGGTATTGCGACGCATCGAGCATATCTCGAAGGAGATGCGCAGCTCCAAACTATTACTGAACATTGTGAAAAAGGATATGGTGAAGAGTTGTGCGAATTTGCGAAAATATAAACGATTTAGTAAGTCTGCCCAGAAACGGGAGAATCGTACGACCAAATTGGTTCTACAATGGACGACGACGAAGAGCACATAAAACAATTTGAACATCGCCTTTGAATTAGATATCAGACAAAATACAAGTTTAGCAATTCTTTCGTTCAGCTGAAATTTTTGTTGCCTCACAAAATTAAGATACACCTTCGAAAAATTCGGTAACAAAATGCTGCAAAATGGCGGAAATATCAAAATTAGAATGCAACATGAACTCGAATCGTATCGAAAATTGCGAGATTTCTACTCCAAAACATCGAAATATCGACACAACCTAAAGACCAAGCTAAGAGAGAACAATTTTGAGCTGGAGGGAACCAGTTTCGACCTCAATCTGAAATCGACTGTCCTGCTTCGTCGACAAATGATCAATTTTTCGGTTCTTGAACAATTTTACAAGCGCCTCGAACACGTCGACAAGGAGCTCGAGAGCTCAAAGATAATGCTGCAGTTGGTTAAAACCGATTTGAACGAGCATTGTAGGACCTACAACAGGCTTCAGCGACAATTGCCGACGTTCGAGCAAAAATCATACGATTTTCTCACCGAGCTCCACTAGAGAGGATTCTGCACTTCATATCTAAAATGTTGACCACCAAAATCATTTGGAGTTGTGCGAAATAGATGTTAAAAAGCTATTCGGAAATTGTTCTACTATTCTATTTGGAACTAGGTGGAATTGTTAACTGAAACGATTTCCATGAAGCCAATACTTTGCTTATTCCATATGTACAGCTTTTTACTTTGGGGGAGTTGTGTGGTTCTTTTAGTTAAGTTTTGAAAAGAACTTTTCGAGAGATAAAGAGTGACATTTTAGTAGAGTTTTGGATAAATACTGCACTTCTAGTAATGCTTATTTTAGGAAGCCAGAAGAAGACGTACATACAAGTCTTTTTGCCTGTCTGTCTGTATGAACCGTGAGAGCTTTCGAACCATAAGAGCTAGGGACGCCAAACTTGCTCTGTAGAGACGTCTATATATATTTATATCTATATCTATATGCA